CTCCTGGAGTTTCCCTACCTTCCTTTGAATCTGCCACTGAGCAGTGGATAGCAGCTGACTGGTGTGTTATCATGGGATATGGTATAAAATAGTATGGCATAAGACATTTTTTTTCCTTTCACTAATCCTATACCGATGAGAAATGCATAATTATTTTAATGATGTACTTACAAAAGGATTAGCTACAACAGAAAATCACAAGGGTAACACTAATTAAAAGGTGTCTCAATTTATTACTAATATGAATTTTCTACAGAGTCCAAATGCATTAATTTTACTTGATATCTGTGAAGGCTCTTAAATATAATTCATATAACCAGCAAAGAAGGAACATAGAGCAGAGTTGGACTGGCTTTTATGTCACTTTCCAGAAAGCAAACTTAACAATGATAAATAAGGCAATGGAGATACAAATACAAAACTGATATTACTATCTTATTCATTATATCAACAAATATTTATTGAGCACCTAATATATAAAGGAATAAACTAGGCATTATCACTGCCCTTATGAGCAAGAGAGGGAAATTAAGCAATAAAACAATATGTAATTCTAAAATATGGTAAATATTAAGAAGGAAAAGATGAATATACTGCAAGGGAGAAAATTAAGGAAATCTAATTTACATAATGATAAGATTGGCCTTCTTAGAGAAAATATAGAGAAAGGATATTTTAGCTAGCACACCAAAATGAAAAATTACTAAAGGTGATGGCCCTAAGAGAGAGAGACCTGGCACAGGAGCAATAGTCCTGAGGCAAGTCTGCTGAGAACTGGCCAAGATGCTGGCAAGAGATGTAGGTGAGGGGGCAGAGACCAAATTACACAGGGCCTTGAAGGCATGTTAAGGATTCTGTATCTTACCTAAAGAATAAATGTGCTGGGCTGGGGTTGTAGCTCAGTGGTAGAATACTTACCTAGCACATATGAGACACTGGATTCGATTCTTAGCACCGCATAAAAATAAATAAATAAAATAAAGGTATTGTGTCCATTTATAACTAAAAAAAAAATTTTAAAAAGAATAAATGTGTTACCTGGGAGCCTTAAAAACAAATGACTCTTTTTCTTCAGGTTGCTGTTGGGAAAACAAACTGGAAAGAAAGGGTATACAGTGTCGCAGGAGGCTACTGAATCTGGAAGAAGTAACAGTAGCTTGAAGTAGGATGGTAGCATGTTAAAAGATGAAAATCAGATAGATCTGAAAGAGATTTCCCAGGAAAAATGAACAGGATTTTGTGGCAAACTGGTTTGGAGTGGTTGATAAACAGAAAAAAAGAAGAGATGAAAAATAGAGAAGGAACAGTTCAAAAGTCTGGAAGTCATGAGGTCAGCTCTGGAGAAATCTGAAATGTAGCCATTTATTGGCTAAGACAAGTCAGGCACTGTATTAGGTGTTCTGCTCATTGTAACATTCCTTATAGAAGTAGCATCCCCATTTTACAGACAGCAAATTGTAGATCACAGAGGTTGAATAGCTGGACCAAGACTATTTATCTTGGAAGTGAAAAATTCATACCTGCCACCCCAGTCTGTCTGTCTGGTTGGAGGGTAAACATTATTTTCATTATACAGAATACTTGGAAACTATATTTTTATCTTTCAAACCTATTTAGGGTTGGAACAAGCAAATACCCAATGAGAATAAATAGGTGATACATTACTTTTTTAATTCAAAATGTCAGATTTGTGATGCATAATGTTTTCTTATCCAAATCCCATCCCCATTCCACTTCTACTTATAAAAAATTTTGCAATGTTTGAACACTAGCAAGACATCTAAGACCTTAACATTTTATAAAAATTAGCAAAACCATTATACCAGGAATTAATCATAATAAAAAGAGCAACAATAATCCAGAAGCAAGCAAGAGGTTTACTCTCAAGTCATTATATACATTAATATAAGACAGACTAAGACATCAGTAAGTAATCTTGAAAAACCGCTCATTTCTCAAACTGCAAGACATTCACATCAAAAAAAATTTTTTTTATCTTATTTTTTTATTTGGTTGTTCAAAACATTACAAAGCTCATGACATATCATCTTCCATACATTTGATTCAAGTGGGTTATGAACTCCCATTTTTTACCCCAAATACAAGTTGCAGAATCACATCGGTTACACATCCACATTTTTACATAATACCATATTAGTGACTGTTGTATTCTGCTACCTTTCCTATCCCCTACTATCCCCCCTCCCCTTCCCTCTCATCTTCCCTCTCTACCCCATCTGCTGTTGTTTAATTCTCTCCCTTTTTTTTTTCCCCCTTTCCCCTCACAAACTCTTATATGTAATTTTGTGTAACAATGAGGGTCTCCTTCCATTTCCATAGTTTCCCTTCTCTCTCCCTTTCTCTCCCCCCACTAGTCTCTGTTTAATGTTAATCTTTTCCTCATGCTCTTCTTCCCTGTTCTGATCTTAGTTGCTCTCTTTATATCAAAGAAGACATTTGGCATTTGTTTTTTAAGGATTGGCTAGCTTCACTTAGCATAATCTGCTCTAGTGCCATCCATTTCCCTGCAAAATCCATGATTTTGTCATTTTTTAGTGCTGCGTAATATTCCATTGTGTATAAATGCCACAGTTTTTTAATCCATTCATCTATTGAAGGGCATCTGGGTTGATTCCAAAGTCTAGCTATTGTGAATTGTGCTGCCATGATCATTGATGTGGCAGTATCCCTATAGTATGCTCTTTTAAGGTCCTCAGGGAATAGACCAAGAAGGGCGATAGCTGGGTCAAATGGTGGTTCCATTCCCAGCTTTCCTAGGAATCTCCATACTGCTTTCCATATTGACCGCACCAGTTTGCAGTTCCACCAGCAATGTACAAGTGTACCCTTTTCCCCACATCCTCGCCAGCACTTATTGTTGCTTGACTTCATAATGGCTGCCAATCTTACTGGAGTGAGATGGTATCTTAGGGTGGTTTTGATTTGCATTTCTCTGACTGCTAGAGATGGTGAGCATTTTTTCATGTACTTATTGATAGATTGTATGTCCTCCTCTGAGAAGTGTCTGTTCAGGTCCTTCGCCCATTTGTTGATAGGGTTCACATCAAAAATTGATACAAGCTACCAGAAAGAGAAGGCTGCAAAAGCCAAGCACTAAAAACTCAGATTAAAAAGTCACAATTAAAAAAATATAAAAATAAAATAAAGGCAAAAGTAAATAACATAATCATGTATGATTTTAAATCTGCAGTTTGCATATATCACAACCAAACTCAGGACATACACCATAAAAATGACTTAAACATCCTCTTCTCTTTCTAACTGCTTTTCCCTGCTGCACACTGACACTTCTACAAACTGAAATGCCTTTCCTATCTGCACAATCCCATGATTTGCTCCCTCTAGGGGCTCCTAATGTCCCTAGAGTTACTGAAGCCCAGAAATAAGGCTTAATCAATGAACCTACAAATAATTCAATGCATTACTGCCAATTGTGTCAATTATGGAAAGCGCCATCATGAGACTCTCAAAAGGAGGGACAAATTTTGAGATGGGGAGATTTTTGAAAGATACAATCACCTACATAACAAATTATATTTTGTTCCATTTGATCCTTCAATAAAATAATCATCAAGTTATGTTCAGTGTTTTTAAAGTAAGGTACACTCAGGTGTAATTTTGATGGTTTGGGGAAAGATCTCCGTGGAAATAAATAATATTAAAAGTACCATTAGTATGACCACTAAAAGAACTCACACAAACCACTTCCCACACTGTGCTGTGTCCTGCATCCTGATTCTTGCATCCACGGCCCTGCACCTCTTCCTGCAGAGAGCTGGCTGGCATTCACTGCTGCCTCATCCAGGCGAAGGGCAGGATGTTGAAAGCCCATTAAGAAAGCTTCCCATTTTCTGCTCCTTGGTAACATGATCGCAACTCCTGGCAACTACCAGATGAAAGATTTTTTTTTTTAATAAAGAAAAACGACGTGAATCAGAAAACAAAAGAGTCTGAAGAGCTGAGATCTATACATATTTAAAGACGGATCTAATGAAGAATTGCTGAGCCACAATCTACTGGAAAATCCATAAATGTTCGTCCCCGCTGTCACCAGGCTGGAGAAATTTTTAAAAATGCAATGATTTGCTGTATTGACAGGACTAGCCTGACAGGTTTAAATCAGCTAGGATACGTGCCCTGCATCGATTTCCCTTCTAAATCCCTAAAGATCAGGGGCAATGTTGACCTGCAATTATATCCTAAGATTGTGCTGCTCAAGATTCCATTTGTGTGTGGGAAAGTAGTGGTTCAGCAACACCAGGCGGCTCTATGATGCTAAAACAGCGACGCAACACTCATTAAGAACCCAGGTTTCGTCTTATAAAACCCTGCGGTACAAGGACTCAAAGCTCATGTTCCTTAAAGTTGACGCGTATCAGGCTTTCTGCGATTTGCCCTCTCAAAGTTTCTAGTTTGCAGAATGGAATTACTTTGAAAGCCCCCTCTTCTGGACTCCCCAGGAGGCTTGGCGACAGGGGGGAAAGGGGACGCACGACGGTCACCGTTCGAACAAAAATTTAAAACCTATAAACCAATCACTTCTTTTTCGGAGAAGAAAAGAAGCGTTCACCCAACCGCCACCCGGCCGGGCGAGCATCCGATTTCCATCTGGAGAAAAAAAATATATTAAAGAAGCCAGACATACATTTCCCTTCCCAACAAAAGTGGCCTCTAAACTCCCTTGCCAAGGACACTGGGAGGAAGCAGAAAAGCCACGAACAAGCCCGTACTTTTTGGTCCGAGGCGCGTGTGTGCCTCGGAGAGAAGGCGCAAAGGGTGACACACCGGGGAAAAGGTGAACCAGGAGGAGGTGGGGAGCCCGCGGCGGGACGGGGTGGGGGCGGGCGGACGACGGGACCCACGGTGCGGCCAGAGTGGAGAGGGGGCGGGGAAGGGGCAGCCCCGAGGCTCCAGGAGCAGAGGGAGGGTCCCAGGCTCCTGCCCAGAAATCGCCGCCTCCAAGTAAAGTTAATACTTACTCAGTTTCGCAACTGCGCCGCTCCCGCAGGCCGGCCGGCGGCTGGGGACTCGGCGGCGCTGGGGACACGGCGGCGCCCGGAGCCCGGCGGCTGCCCAGTGCCAGTCCCCGCGCCGCCCAGCCGGCGTTCCCCCGGCACGCGTCCCGCAGCGGCGGGAGGCCCCGGCCCCGCGGCGCGCCCTCTCCGCGCACCTCCGCGGCCGGCTAGGTGAGTGTGGACGCCACCCTCGGGGGTGCCGGGTGCGCGAGCGCGCGAGCAGCAGCCGTCCCCAGCGCCGCCGCCGCCGCGCTGCGGGTGTGCGGGCGTGCGGGCGAGGCTTGGCGAGGAACAGCGCGGCGTGCAGGCGGCCGAGTCGGCGGCCGGCTCGCTCCCGCGGCTGGTGCCTCTGGGCTAGGGGCCGGGCCGGGGGCCGGGCCGGGCGGAGCCGGGCAGCCGGGCGGCTCCGCCCCTTCGCCGGGTCGCGGGCTGAGCGCGCGAGAGGAGCGGCACGGGGGCGCCCCCCTCGGCCGGGCGCTCGGGTTACAGCCGCGGCCGCCCGGCTCCCCCGCCCGCGCCTCGGCCGCCCGCCTGCGCCGGGCGAGACTGTGTAACGGAACTGGGACGCCAGCGCTGCATTGTGGGAGCTTTCGGGCGGCGGGGGAGCGCGGCGCGGCCCTCGGGCACACCCGGGCCAGACTCCAACGGCCCCTCGTGCGTCGGCCCGCCGCGCGCAGAGGCCTGCGGACCCGAAAGCCAGACGCCGTGAGGTGACCAGCGTCTCGGTGACGCTTGCAGGAGCAAAATCTTCCATAGCCCAGGGCTGAGACTTGTAAAACTGCCCTCTAGGGTGACCCGGGAAAGTAGGAGGCCTTTTCCGCAGACGGGGAGGGGGGGAGGCTTTTCATCTGGAGTAGCTGTGATTCAGCGTCCCCCTTTGCAGCAGGCAGTGACTGAGGCAGGGAACGAAAAAACAAGCGAATGAATCACTTATGAGTAACAAAAGTTTAGAAAGGCTAGGCACCAATTCAGAAAATGCCCCCCCCCCCGCGCGCCACTGCACACACGCCTTGAAAAATAGCCGATAATCAGGGAAGGAAATCGCTACTTTGGGAAGTGCAGTGCAGACATATATGTTGTTTTCTGTTTTCACTCTTCACTTTTTTAAATTTAATGTCATGGAGTAACGCTAGCCATTGGACAAAAATGAAGTCTTTGGTACAGGCTTTGCTCACACATACCCATAACTCTGCAACAGCTATTAATATGAAAGGAGATGGGCGCAGATAATGGAAGAGATGCAAGAAAATGCTCCATTTATAGAATGCCCCTTTAATTTCAGACACCAGCTTTTTATCGTCAAAACAAGGATATTAAATTTGAAGCACAACTTGTTACACCTCATGTGATTCAGGACCTGATTGTTTTGACCCTTTGTTTCTTGGTTTTTGACCTTTTGTTACTCAAGAGCTCCTTTTTTTTTTTTTTTTTTAAGTTCCTCTGCCTTGCAGGTGGGTTGAGGAGGGAGCTCTGGTGAGACTAAAATTTGGCAAGTCAACAAACATTTGGTAGATTTGTGGAGGAGAAAAACTCTCCATCATCCAGATCAAAACCTGAGGGAATATGACTTACAGGTGACTCTATAGGGCATGCATCCTTCCTTAACTCTACTAGAATCTTTTTGAAGAAGTTGTTTAGCCTTAAGGTAAAATGTGTCCTCTAGTAGCCTTGTCAGCCTTCACTCTACAAACAGTATCAGCCACTGTCTGATTGTCAACTAATGGAAGAACTTTATGCTCATCTTATTCTGATCTTGGTGGCATTTGCCAATGTTCTCTCTTCTTAGAACTTCTCTTGCTTTAAAAGTCATCACTCTTTTGTGGAAGTCTTAAAACATGGATGAGTGATAGCAGGCAGAATTGTGACTATTAGGATGTAAGATTTTACAGAGTAGCTAGACCTTAACCTGTTTTTTTCTTGGTTACAAGGAAGGATCCCCCACTTCAGTTTTATCACACATCCAGAGGTGAACAAGTTGACTGACTGGTGACAATCAACTCCCATTTGACCAGCATTTAGTAGGATTAAGTTTACTATGATTGAATAACTATGTCCACTATTTAGGAGAAGCCCTTACTAAGATTCAGGCACCTGGTGAGGTATCCTTGTTTCCGAAGCAGAGTGTGCCTTACTGGTGGCTGCCAGAGTCACCAAAGTCATGAATTTGCCTCCATCAGTGAAAAATCTCTTCCCTACTTAGTCCTATTTACTTGCATTCTTTCTTCTGCATATAGGAATTTAAGGTGTTTTCTTTCTTTCTTTCTTTTTTAGCTGTAATCATGTCCCTGTTAAGGTTTCCTGGGATCACACCAAATGTTTTTCTTTGATGGGATGTGTAAATAACTCTACTTGCAGATTCTAATTATATTCTTGGAAAAAATATGTAACTAGAAAGGGTAAGTATTCATACTGTGAAAACACTGTTAATAATAAGATTTTATTTTTAAGAAAACAACCTGATAATTTGGATTCATAAGAGATCATTGTAAAGGGAGACAGGCTAAGCTAGAGTGCACTGGGAATGAATCGGAGATGAAGCACCTGGAGATGTACTGGCAAGTATTTAGCAATTTCCTATTACTGTTGTAACAAATTGCCACAAACTTAGTGGCTTCAAACAACAAGAATTTACTGTCTTAAAGTCCTGAAGGTCAGAAGTCTAAAATTAAGGTATGAATTATGTTTCTTCTGGAGGTTGGAGGGGAGATCATTCCCTTGCTTTTCCCAGCTTCTGGATACACCTGCATACACCTTGGTTTGTGGCTCTTTCCATTTCCTCTGTTGTCAAGGCCCAGACTTCCTGTCTCTTTCCTCTCTGCTCTCACTTCTATTTTGTGGTGAGGGGGACATCTCTTTCCCTGAGAAGAGAAATTGGTATAGAAATGTTTTTGATCAGATGTTAGAGACGGAATTGAACTACTTAAAGGAAGAGATGACAGGTGACTTTATTATTTACCAAATCTTCACCAGGGTTACTAGTTTGACTGTAACATTGGTGAAGCAGTGACTTTTTACCTCAGCTAAATCTGTATTCATCCCATGACCCATGTAATTCAAACCAAGGTGTTGATACACCAAGAAAGCCTAGTTCATAGGCTTTCTGCAGTTTATAGGGCTAAATCTCTATGCAAATCACTGGCAACTCTTTTATGATGTCCAGGGAATCATTTTGCTAAGTTTGAGACATATGTTGGTAGACTGGCCTACCAAGGAACAGCAACCTGTAAGATAGGTTTCTGGGAAGCCAGTGATTCCAGGCTTAGTAAGGTCTATGGGACACATTTATGACTCCCATTCTAGACTAGCTAAGATGCTTGTACCCAGACAGAGAATAATCAGTAGGTCAGAATCCACCAAGGGCAAAGTATTGGACACTCCCTTCATGAGGAAGTCCAGGGGGACCATCAAAATTAAAATTTTGACTTGACAAGTGGGTCTATAGTATAAGAAGTAATAAATTATGATTCTTTATTATCTGTCTCTGCCTGTCTTTTTCTCCCTCTCTTCTTCTCCCACTCTTGTGTTTCACCCATAATAAATGTACAATTCCCCGACCTCTTAAATGGTCATTCAGGTCTCTCACCACATTTCCTGAAATTGGTGTTTACTTATTGTCATCTCCAACCTCAGCCCTATACCCTGGTTAAAGCCATGGAGCATGTATGTTACACTCATCCACTGAATACCCCATGCCTGACTCAGGGCCTAGTACAGTGCTGAGCTTAACTGGTACTAGTTGAAATAATAATTAATGAGTGAATAACAATGCACATTTAATAAACTAATGCTACTTATTTCACCTTACAACTTTCTTTGCTTTTCCTCCTTCTAACATATAAGATTTTCCTCCTTCTAACAATGAAGATTTTGCTTTTCCTCCTTCTAACAATGAAGATTTCCATCCTTTTTTCAATTAATAACATTTAAAAAAATAAACTAAGGTACTGGTATTACAATAATGGACAGAACATAATCTGGACCTTCATTGAGCCTCACAGTCCATCTAAGGAAACATGCTAAGAAAAGGAAAATGAGGCAAGCAATCCTATCTAGTCTATTCCTTTCCTCTCCTTTTTTTTTTTTTATTAGTAACAGAAATCTGGTTTGTGTCCAGCTGAAAAACTTCACTGTATAACTTTCCTTGAAGAAGGAGGTAATTAAGTATAAGCCAATGTCATGTAGGGACTCCCAGAAAAACAACTCTTTATGTGTTGGTGGTAGGGTAATGCCAAGGCTACCTCAAACTAACTCAAGCCCTGTTGCTGCCTGGAACATGGATGAGATAACTGGAGCTTTAGCAACAGTCTTGTAGAATTGAGGTTATCTTGAAGCCCAAAGTCATATGCTAGGGAAGATAGCAGGAGGATGAAAAGAGCTATCCTAATAACACCAAACAACCTACCTGTAAAATTTCTTTTACATGAGAGAAAAATAGTAGATCTCTTAATTAGAGCAAAACACAGTTGCCAACTAATACAATAAATAATTATGGTGACATTAGAGGTATAAAAGGGTGTATATAAACTTTGGGGGGTGTACATTTAAGGAAATGATGAATTTTGTTTGAGGGAAAAGGAGATTGGAAAGGGATTCACAGAAAAGATGACTTAAATGATGAGTAGCTCTTCACTTGGTTTGTGTTATGATTTAGATATTAGATGTCCCTCAAAAGTTCATGTGTGAGACAATGCAAGAACATTGAGAGGTTACATGATAGGGTTGTGAGAACCTTAACCCAATCAGTGACTTAATCCCCTGATAGGGATTAACTGAGTGGTAACTGAGGATGGTAGGCTGTGGCTGTAGGAAGCATTAGGGGGTGTGTGCCTTTGGGGTTTATATTTTGTATCTGGCAAGTGGAGTCTTTCTGCTTCCTGTTAGGGTGTTCTAGCTACTTTCCTCTGCCACACTCTTCTGCTATGATATTCTGCCTCTCCTGGAGGAATGGAGCTGGCCATCTATAGACTGAGACCACTGAAACTGTGAGCCTCCAAATGAACTTTTCCTTCTGCAAAATTGTTCTTGTTGAGTCTTTTGGTTAGAGCAGCAAAAAAGATGACTCAAATAGCTTGGAAAGAAGGAATCTCAGATCTGATATTTCAGGTCATTTTTGTTGTTGTAAAGTTGGTATCTGAACAGACAGATAATGGTCTTTTTTTGTTTGTTTTGATTAGAGAAGAATGATATGATATTAAGCATAGGAAATGATGGGAACTCTTCAGGTCTATGGCAGGAAGAATTTGAAGAAGTATTAATTAAGGAAACTCTAATATTATTTTTTAATATCTATTTGCCTTCCTATGATTTTTCCAATTTTGGGAAAAAAGTAATATATATCTTCTCCTCTTTATTTCTATACATTCTAATGTTTAATCACTTTTTCACTTTGTACATGTTAGGTTAGTGAGAGATTTGGCCTAAATTACTAAGCCTTCATTTAGCCACTTTTACTGGTAAGTTTAAAAACAAAAAAAAAGATCATATTTCCTCCCCTTGTCTGTGTATGTATTAAGCAAGTAAATATGGTATTCTTTCCCATTCCTAATGAAAATCTTGTTCTTGTATTGAAACACTGTTATGATCTATAAATATTGTGATGTATTTGGCTAATATGAGGGATTTTTTTTAGAAACTAACAGTTCTCAGATGTATAGAACTTTTTATTTTAATGATAGTGTCTTTTTAGAAATTAAATTGTAGTTAACAAATAATAAATAAGCTCTTAAAAGACCCTCTAATAATCATCAGATCAGTATAATAAAGTACTATATGGAAAGAAGGTAAAGCATAAGCTATAAATGGAAACTACAAAAGGGTATGCAAAAAGGAATAAATCAAATATGTTTAAAAATAATATTTAAAGTATGGTTGGGTCTTTCTTTAAGTTTAAAAAAAAGTTATCCTTTAAAAGGATAACCCCATGAAATGTTTAAAAATCTCAATTCTTTTATTATTGTATAGGCTGGAAGAATGGATTTAGTTAGCTGAGATGATGAACTATACCTAGAGCCTATAAGGATAAGAATATTGAAGGAGAATAGTGGATGACATGCCAGCTGTTATGAAATTGCAACTTTGCAAATACATGCGGTAAAATCTGGTCTGTCTAGCGTCTTTCAACCTGAACGCCACTCACCAAACTCCCTAGACTGCTGCAGTACTATAATTGAGGTTCATAATGATGACCCTGATATAACTTCTGAATCATAGCAGAAAGATTAAATTATGTTCCACTTTAATTTCATGTATTTAATTATATTTTTATTAGTTGCAAACTGGGAAATCTGGTCTGTTTTATAATACTGTTGACTGACTAGAGCTCCTTATCAAGGACCTAGCATCCTCAGATGCAAAGGTTACACTCAGGGGTGTAAAACAAAACGCAAAACAAAAAACCCACAAAAAATTATTTTAAATGTGTCAATAATAATAATAATAATAATAATAATTATTATTATTATTATTTTGAAGTAATTTAGAGTCATCCAGTCACATTTTTAAAAATTGTAACAAATGTGTTGGTTAATAATAAGTGTCACATGGCTAATTCTTTTAATAAGTATCATAATTCATGTTCTATAGTGAGAAAAATAAGCTTAGAGTATGAGTAGATAAAGCTTCATTTTGAATTTGAGAGAATGTGATCTATGAGTCAGCCAGACAGCAAGCATAGGCATGGCCCAAGCATATTGTAAATTGAGTTGGTTGTATGTCTAAGTTTGGATTGAGGGTCCTGTCAAACTCTCTCATCTCACCTTTGGTTTCCCCAGAGATGCATTTGGTGGTTCTGATGACAGTAAGAACCTCTAATACACATATGGATCAAGTATGTGTCTTGGTCATACTCCCTGGAAGCAGAGCCTGAGACAGGGACTCTTTTGCAAGTGACTTATTGAGAGTATGCTCTCAAGAGAAATTGATTAAGGAAGGTATCATGGAACAGCAGGGATAGAGCTAAACCAGAATGTGGTCTCTGCTAGAGACCAGTTTTGACTTGATCCTGTGGGAAACTCTAGAGTAGGAATTGCACCATCCAGTTGGTCCTCTTGTCACAAGGAGGCCAGCCTTTTGTACCCCTCATCAGTCACTCATGGGCAGTAGGTTAGTATTAATACCTAGGCAAAGAGGGTAGATCTCTGAGAGCAACCAATACTCAAGGCAGCCTAAGATGTGTGCACCAGCTCAAGAAAGGGATCTGGCCAGGGCACCAAGAGTATCTACTTCACATGGAAACACTGTACTATTGTTACCGCTGTTGACCGGTGACGAGTCCTTGCTTCCCCAATGTTGAAGAATAACACCAGAGAAGCACGCAGAGGCAAGGTCAGAGTGGAAAATTAGAAGTTTATTAAAGGACAACAGAAAAGACTTCTCCCGGAGGAAGAAGGGAACCCAA